ATATTAAACGGAAAAATCTCATGTATTCAAATAAAATTCAATTTCTGTTATTAGCTGAGAATCAGGCAAAATATTAAACTGAAAAATCTCAATGTTGCACGAAACACCCAGTATTTAAATTTCTTTTCACAGAGATCAATCTCTGCTAATTGGTGAGTGACTTTTTTTTATAGAACAGATATGTAAAAGAGTTTATCCTTAACTTCAATTGGTATTCCAACACAGGATGTGAGAATTTATCTCAAGTATTTGTTAAGCAGAAAGTCCAGAAAAATGAAGTTACGTGTTTTTACGAATTACTTTTCTGAATCCTGAAGAAACCCTTCCATCCTGCGAAAATTTCGTTCTCCACATATGAATGGGCCACCCGATTCGCTGTATAAGGTACAACAAGACTTTTTTTTTTGAAGCACCCCTACCCTGTTTAATTGAAATGTTGTGAAAAATGTGACTCGTTTTTTTATTCCATTAGTCTACAACTTGACGTCAAACTAGTAGCATATGAAATATTTTGGCTCGAAAAATCATGAAGTCTGAAATAACTGTGCTATTGGAGTTTATAAAATCTCCCGCTTTGACGAAATTCACTGAACAAGCAGTACATTCCAGTAGAATGTCTCATTGAGCAGATCCTTATGGGCTATTAAGGGTGTGGCACAAACTTCCTCAAGAATATCGCAGCAACTTTAACCTACAAATCAAACTGCTTCGTTCATTATAATCGTCCCGATTGGACCACACACCGGGATGGACCGCCATCTTCTCAAGAGGCATGCAATTTTTGTAGAAAAGGATTACTTAAATAAAATAGTTCATCATGATATATCCTTGTTTTCGTATCCTTCCACCCACATACATCATATTGCAAACACCATCTGTCATACGTCATGTCATACGTCAAACTTCATATGTGTCAAATACCATACGTCAAATGTCATTAGTCATGCCAAATGTCAGACCTCATGTCAAACTTCATGTGTCAAATACCATACGTCATGTCATATGTCGAATGTCATACGTCAAACTTCATATGTGTCAAATACCATACGTCGAATGTCATACCTCATGTCATATGTCAAAGTTCAAATACCATACGTCATGTCATATGTCAAACATCATACGAACACCTACTGGTCAAGCCACTGCGCCATCTACCGGTGGAAGTAGGTACATGTTACAGCGTTCCTTACGTTCGCACTGGAAGTGGGTGGGTAATGTCATATGTCAAACGTCAAACATCATGTGTCATGTTTCAAATATCAAATGTCATACGTCATGTCAAATGTCATACGTCAAACTTCATATGTCATGTGTCAAATACCATACGTCAAATGTCAGATCTCATTTCATATGTCGAACTTTATGTGTCAAATACCATACGTCATGTCATATGTCGAATGTCATACGTCAAACTTCATATGTGTCAAATACCATACGTCGAATGTCATACCTCATGTCATACGTCAAAGTTCATGTGTCAAATACCATACGTCATGTCATATGTCAAACATCATACGAACACCTACTGGTCGAGACACTGCGCCATCTACCGGTAGAAGTAAGTACATGTTACAGCGTTCCTTATGTTCGCTCTGGAAGTGGGTGGGTAATGTCATATGTCAAACATCATATCGTCGGTGTAATTAGCAATGTGCGTAACTCCAATATTGGGTCAAAATGACATTTTTGTGCCATCTGTTGGGAAAAAATTCAACGAATATGTTGGAAAACGGTCAATCTCCAAATAAATTTCTCCAGCAGAATAAACTCAATAAAGAAAAAGTCGTAACTCCAACGCACCATTTTATGTTCGGCAATATTCGTATCTCCTTGTCTACTGTTCACATGTTCGGCAAAACATCATCAACTTCTGGTTTATTATAGTGAAAAAATATGCAATCTCACATTGGAAAAGGTAATTAAAACATTTATACTGAATGATGCATGCTTGATAATGATCAATATCAATAAAAATCAATTGAAATTGGGTTTATAATCGTTATCATGGAGTTACGAATTTTTCGCTCTCATCCAAATGATTCGAATCTTGGAGTTAAGTCATTCAGTTTTATTGCTCTCCTGAAAAGTTAGTCATTGTGGAGTTACGCACTTTGCTAATTACACCGACGATATGTCAAATGTCATACGTCATGTGTCGAATGTAATACGTCATGTCAAATGTCATACGTCATGTCATATGTCAAACATCATATGTCAAATGTCATACGTCATGTCATGTGTCAAATGTCATCCGTCATGTCATGTGTCAAATGTCATCCGTCATGTCATGTGTCAAATGTCATACGTCATGTGTCAAATGTCATACGTCATGTGTCATTAGAGTGGGCGGGGCCTAGAGATCACGTGGTGGTGGAGGAGTGGGGGTGGTCTCATCTCCGGGAGTACCTACTAACCAAGATGAAAAAGACAAGAAGTTTGACGTCTCTTCAATCGAGCTGGAGTAACAGAGTGCAGGGACGCTAAGATATTTTTGGCGGATGTTCTTTCAGAATATATCAGATGTACCTGCCATCATGAGAATTCACAATGCTCTCGCCAGAGATACGACCCAAGAGATCGGTTCGATATAACTATCGGGCTGCTCATTTATGGACTCTGGTAAAAAATATTACAGATTCTTCTACAGAATCATTTTCTGGCGGTCTGCTTTTAAAATACCGGCAGCAAAACCCGCTTTCAATGGGATTGAGATTTCCACATGTATAGAAATCTTCAGATTGAAGACTTAAAACTAGACAGTTTGATACAGAGACATAAAATACAATGATAATATCACGATATCACAGAGACAGAAACAGAAAGACTAGGCTGCCGAAAAATATCCTTCTGAAGTATGGAGATTCATTCCCAGTAATATTTTCTTCAAGTTCGTTCTGAAATTACTGAGTTTTTCAATCGACTGGGAAGTTTATTGAAATTTCGAGTCCGAAGGGATTGGGAGAGTTACGTGTATTCTCATAGTTACACATTAGAATGTGATGATTGTCACAGTGTCTTTCACTCATACCGTGTAAATACCTATTAGTAATGGAATTTTCTCAGTTCGAAAATACATTAACACATAATTCAAATACAAAAACACCAATGACAGTTGGAATGTGAAGGCTTTCAAGAATATTTTGGCGAGATTGTCGACTAGGTATGCTTGCTATTATTCTCATACTCAATCATTTTCTGTATGTACCTGGTGAACAACTAAGAACGGCTGTCATATCTATCATTCTTCCAACTCTGATAGTTAATATCTTACGTTGGCGAAAAGCTATCATGTTGCGGTTTCCGCTGGTCTGGTTGTATCATTCTTCGTTGCTGAGATATGGCCGACAGCCGTTCTTAGTGGTTCACCCTGTACAATATAAACATCCGGTGATAGCGTATAGTTACTCAAAAAATGAATATCATAACGGATTCGTGAGGAAACATGAGCATGATAGAGCAAAAACATCTGTTCTTCTGTAAGTATTGTTCTTAGACTCCGAAACATATAACAGAGCTAATTTAGTTCCTTGATTAATTTGTTGCCATGTCAAACATTCATCTATGCCGATTCCTAGGAATGTTAACTCATCAATATTCTCCAGCAGATTACCATTCACAGATATATCCATATTTGTGCAACGTTTTTGCCGGTGATAGAATCCCATTACGTTAGGTATCCCGACTTCCTTGGAGAAGTTTAGCAGCTCACTAGACACTGTCGTCTGAGACACCACCTAGGAAGAATGGGTCTGAACCAACAAGTGGAATGTCGGTTCTGCTATATGGAAGACGGAGACCAAGATTCGACATATTTGGCTCATGATTCAACCATGGACTTTGTATAAATGAAGTGGATTGTACAATGAACAGTAACTTCTAGGGGTGAGCCACAATAGACCCATCTGAGGTCGCAGTGGAGGTGCGATATTCGCCTCATTCACATGAAACCTAACCCTAACTCACCCTCATGTTGCTAATGAGAGAATCCTCTGTGACTACAAATGAGCTCATTGGGTTTTGTTGATACAAGTAACGCTTAGCCAGCGGTCTTGGGACTGCTTGCCGTAGACAACCCTACACTGGGGAGCTAATTGCTCGCAATTGGTCTCTAGGTGCCGTTGCGTTAACCTGGCTAAATCGAAATCAATCAGCATTCAGGAAAGAGAGACTTGCATTAGAAATCATTTATACGTATCGATGCATAGATTTCGGGACGATGTATTCCCACGTTCAGCGTGGCATTAGCCTAAAAAGTAGTTGTTTTTCTCTTTTCATCTACTCTTGTTCTTCATTTTATGGAGATTTGTGGAAATGACTAAGCTTCATTGTATTTCTCCATCATTCCATTCCACTTGGAGGATATTGACTGTTTCGTAGTTGAATTTACGCCACCTATGCAATCAGACACTTCCCTTCCTCACCGAAAATTTTTAGTACATCAGTTTTGAGGATTGTTCCTTTCCTTCTAGTCTAGATGTTCATGTTGTTCTATGAGATATTCTTCTGAGACTCCAAATATGCTGATTGGATATCGTTGGACCAGTTTACGCTCACCCGGCGCTCTCGAGAAGGTAGATCTGGTCCCTTTATGTACCATTGTTTTTTATAATTCAAACATTTGTTGCAATGAATTTGGGCTTCTTGTATCCATTTATCATTCCATTCCACTCTGAAGCTTCTGACTATATCGTAATTGGAATCACGCGGACAATCGCCCACTCCGTTTTTTCTCTTACCGAAAATGGGTATATCACTTCTGTGGAGTTCTTTTTCTTTGCATCCAGTCTAGTTCTCGTTACACTCATGTTTCCCATCAAAGATTCCTTTGACACCACGAATATGCTGATTGAATTTCGTTGGTCCAGGTAACGCTCAACCTGGAGATCCAATAATTGAACCTCATAATATCTTCATTTCTTCGAAATGATCTGTGTTGGAATATAGATAGTGGAGGCAGATAAATTGCAGTAAGATATGGTTTATATTTTTTTTGACCTCACCTGCCAGATTAATAGATCAATATCCAAAGTATCGCTTTCTCTGTAACGTGAGATTCCTCTACACCAATTCGTGACATCATGGGGACTAAAAATGTAATGCTTATTGCGTGTGTTGACAAATGTATTACGAACCTGAAAGAATAACAAACTATCAGTCAGTATAATGCGTAATATGCTTGCTGAGCAGATGTAATATGTGTTCATAGGACCATTCTTGGGTTCCCGCCTTGAAGTATCCAATTCATTTCCATACCTCAATATTGAAATGAATGAGGTTGGAAAAAGCAGAAGAACTTGACGCCACTGAAAATTATACCAATATGAGAACAACGATAGTCATAAATCATCTATCAACTAGATTCCCTTATAACTCGGTACGTTTTCTTCGAGTGAATTGATAACAATGAATCAACCTCACATTGACTCGATTAATAATTGAAATGCGCAATACCTACATTGGAATTTCAGGTAATAGATTAACTTGATTACACGTCGAATCAATGTCCTACATTGTTCATCTTGAAATTCGCCGGCGCCCAAATGGTGAACAATTGGACAACCGATGCGAGATGCTGAATAATGTTCTCGTGAACTACTACAGTTGTAAGATGAATTGTGTACTTTCAAGGCGGTATCCGAATAATGTAATCTTATACAACATACAACCACATACTATCAGTTCGTGTTTTTATCGTTAAGGTAAACATTTTTGAAAGTTAATGTAATATTATTCAACATACAACCACATGATAATATCAGTTCTTGTTTTTATCGTTGAGGTAAACATTTTTGGACGTGGATGAAAATGTGACTCACTTTATCGTAAAGTATAATCATTGTAGTTGACATCTTCACTATCTTAGATTTCGGATAATTGTGTTTCGGGAAACAGGCTTTCAAAATTGCCGTGAGGTAGGCAGTAACAATAACTGAAAACTCGTCGGATTCCGGTAAACTGCAAAATATCAACAATTGTCATCATCATTATCATAATTATCATAATCATTATCATCATGAGTAATATCCCGATGTTCTGAATATAACAGATAATTCTGTCGCTACATTGTTCACAAAAACGTGTTGCCGAGCAACACCACGAGTCCGTCAGGACGGGTGGTATATATTTAACGTTTATGAAGCATAAAAAGTATAGCCATAATTATTTTCTCCCAAACTGACAGACTTTGCTTAGCTATTCATAGTTACACCCTTGAAAACATCAACGCTGATAGAGCAATCAGAATTAAAAGACAGTTAAAGTTTTTGCGATTACCATACGTTGTCTCTGAAGACGGAAAAATGGAATCTGAAAACAATTATGATATGTCGGCACCATTTTTATCACATAACAAACGTACTTCTGCTATGACGATAACTCTTACAAGATTGTTTGTCAGTTGACAATAGTCTCTTCATCATCATGAATTATTCTGAAACAAGACAACCCGATGCGGGGTAGGGTTGTAGACGTAGACAGTAGCAGAAGCACGAAGTATCTAGAGACCGGACGCAACAAATGATCCGTGTGGTGAGCATGATAATGCTTTTTGTATGATTCTGTTTTGTTCATGATTTGAAGAGAATAATAATACTCGAATAGGCATCTATCCTGTGCGGGCAACTGCTTGTGCCGACGAACAAATTAACATCTACTCTTTACAGCCAAGAATGAATGCTCTCTTAATGAAATAGTTTTCAAGTGAGCTAGTGGCACAGTGGGCTGTGCCACTCCCAAATAACATTATTAGTATCATTGTTAGCAACATGAAGTTGTTTCAGCCAATTTTAAAATGCTTTTTCAAAACTATTATAGTTTATTAACATCATTAAATCAATAAAACAACCTTCTCGAAACATAGAGGGCCCACCTTCATAAAAGCTGTCAAAGCTTTTTTTAAAGCTTATCATGAAACTGAAAGGAAGTTATTGTAGTATGCCTCACAGCAATGATGGAACCTATCAAAGCTGCTTCCTTCAAAGCCTTCCAGCCAACATTGAAACACATATTGGCTGAAATTGAAACTTCATCAGTTGTAGTAAGCATTTGTGGAGATGAAATAGTCCGTAAAGTTTTATATGAGAATATTTCTCCAGAACAAATTAAAATACGAACATGTCGAAATGGAGTAAAAACAATAACTCTTTATGAGAGAGAGTAAACATGACGGTATGATATGATGACCTACTGTATCAGATAGTCTTTCTTGTGAAGATTGAGGCTGTAAAATGAAAACGAAGAAGACTTTTTGACGAAAACATAGCAGATATGCTTAAAAATAAGCAGCGCCCTAAAAATGATGGAAACACACCACACGTAATCGTTGGGACAGGATCCTGAAATTTTCTGGAGCGAAAGATGAAATGAAAATGCACTCTATGGCCAAGTAGTGTTATCTTCAGTGTTATACACTGCACGCCAATGGCCATGAAACCACCTCAATTTCAGGAAAATGATATTAGGTGGCAAATCAGCTCGGATTCGGATTCAGGACGCCCAATTCTATCACTATTCAGATTTTCCTCGAACATTTTTTGGTTCTGAAAAATTTTTTTTTGTTTCACTTTTCATGAAAACACCCTCGCATCTTACGTGATCGTTGGGTTTTGATACTGAAACTTGCTGTAGCGGGAGATGTACCGAAAATGTATTTCACGACCAGGTGAGGTCATCTTCATACACTGCTCGCCAACAGCCCTGAAACCACCCCAACTTTCGGAAAATCATGTAAGGAGTCAGAATAGGTTGAAATCACTTGATTCGGAATCGGGACGACCAATTTTATAACTATTTATATTTCCCCTGGAAAGTTTTCAGTTCTGAAAAAAATATTTTTGTCTCACTTTTCAAATAAACACCCCCGTATATCTTACGTAATTGTTGGGTTAGGATCCTGAAATATGCTGAACCAAGAGATTCACCAGATATGCACTTGGGTTATCTTCAGTCATATACAAAGCTAGCCAACAGTGTCTGTGTCTGTGTTCAATAGATATAATTCAATGTTCGTCGTGGCATATAGCCAGGAAAGTAGTTGTTTTCTGTTGAATGAACCGAGAAAAAAATTGATACTTTCATCACATAGAGGATGCGAATTTCCAATGTATTTCTTTATATATACAGTGTGTTTCACTTCTAATGGAAACACCCCTGTATCTCTCGTTATCGTTGAGAAAGGATCCTGAAATTTGCTGGAGTGGGAGAAATACTGACAATGCACTCCAAAACCAAGTGGGGTCATCTTCAGTGATATACACTGATCGCCAACAGCCATGAAACCATCCACTTTTCCGAAAAATGACATTAAGAGACAAAATAGGTTGAAAATCACATCGGATTCGAAAACAGGACTTCCATAATTCACAAACTATTTATATCTGTTCTGAAAATTCTTCAATTTTGAAATAATCAATTTTGACTCACTTTTCATGGAAGTACCCAAGTATCTCACGTAATTTTTGATGTATGAATCTGAGAGGACCCCGCACTTTTTCTATATGAAAATGACGTTTTGTCGAATTCTCTGAATTTCTGGTATATTATAGAACTCGACCTAATGATCAAATATGCCGAGTCCTGATCCGATCTTATGACCAGTTTTTGAGATACAGGGTGTTGAAGTTGAGAAATGCCCCCCTTTCATCTACCCATACCTCCAAGAATATACAAATGAATCAGAATTTCCTGCTAGCAGTTTTTCAGTTCAACCTTTAGGTACAACAACCGAGTACAGAATCAACCAAAGCTGTTCTTTATCACAGGGTGATTCACATCTGAATTATTGTGTTATTTTCAATTTCTAAATATTGATACTACTACTTTATAAAAATCGAAAAATCTTAATTATTATTCGATATGTTCTTCTTACATGAAATTGATTCATTATATGTATTGATTATACATGGTGTTTCGTGAATGCTGATGTTTAAAAAATGAAGTTTAATGAGCCACTTCGTATTATTGGGTTGATTTAGGCAATTGATTAAAATCTTCGAAGACACATTTAGATGCATTTCAAGGTATACAGAGTGATTTATTTATTGAAAAAATTGCCAACTACAGAAAAAAATATTAAAAAACCACTGTTTTTTCCATCACCCTATACTTCTAGATTTTCACCGTTAAGGTCAGTTTTTTCAATATTCTAAGTATTATTACCTCAATGGCATGAAGTATTTTCAGCTCCTTGCTATGACTAGTTTTCCATATATTGAATATAATGAAAGTGATTACCCACTCAGATTAAATACCTACTGCTTCGAAACGAAAATATTACTTGAAGAAAATATCACTGGTTCTGACATATTTCCATTGGAGACTCGAAGGAATAACAAAATATACAGTATACAGGGTGTCCGCTTCACCATGGATCATATCTACTCTAGCTGGTGATAAACAAGTTTATAGCTTACCCAAACACCACAATTTGAACTTTTATACAAATAATTCAATTCCTATTTGTATGATTCAAGCTATACATGACGACAAGAATTTTTTTTTTATATATATGTAAGTTCCAATATCTCGAAATTCGTGAATTTTTTATCAGGTCAAAATGTGGTTTTCTGATAGGTTATGAAATGGTTTATCACCGGTTAGAGTATGATCGATGGTTTATCGGACACTCTGTATAATAAAACTAACTCATTTACTCGCCACCCCAGAGGTACAGTTTCAAGCGAATTTTTTTTAATGCTATTTTGTGGCATTCCTGAAGCGGAAAAATGTATGCTGTGAATAGTATTTAAAAAAAAACGATGATGAATATGTAGGAAACTCTCCTATTGCACTACTGCACCTGCAAGTCCGGTGCTAGGACATCAGGGACTTGTGCGGATGTGGCTTGTGTATTATGGTTTCTGGGTTTCGCTAGACATCAAGGATTCCCATCAAATAGACATTTCAATTGTATTGACGATGCTGCACATCGATTGCCACCTGACAATATTGATATCGGTCCGGAAGTAATTTGAAACTGACGATAGTGTTCCTTTGTACAAATCATTCGTTCGATATAAACATTCGACATTATTCGTGCAGTGGACTAGACCTGATGGGGATACCACTAAAAAAAATGCACTGAAAACTCTACCTCTGGGGTGGCGTCAAATGAGTTAGTTGTATTATACAGGGTGTCCGATAAACCATCGATCATACTCTAGCCGGTGATGAACAAATTCATAACCCTTCAGAAAACCACATTTTGACCCTGGCAAACACCTCACGGATTTCGAGATATTGGAACTTCTCTCGGAACATTTATGAATATATATAAAAACAGAATAATTCCTGCCCTCATGTTCGAATTGTGGTGTTTTGGTAAGCTATAAAATTGTTCATCACCAGCTAGAGTATATATGATCCATGGTGAAGTGGACACCCTGTATACTGTATATTTTGTTATTCCTCCAAGTCTCCAATGGAAATATCGTAGTTACAGTAATATTTTCTACAAGTAATATTTTCGTTTCGAAGCAGCAGGTATTTAATCTGAGTTGGTAATCACTTTCATTATATCCAATATATGGAAAACTAGTCATAGCAAGGAGCTGAATATTCTTCATGCCATCGAGGTACTAATACTCAGAATATTGATGGAAAAAAAATCTGACCTTAACGGTGAAAATCTAGTATTAGAGGGTGATGGGAAAAATTGTGGTTTTTCAATATTCTTTTGTAGTTGGCAGTTTTTCCAATCAATAAATCACTCTGTATACGGTGGGATGCATCAAAATGTGTCCTCGAAAATTTTAATCAATAGCATAAATCAACCCAATAATACTTGAACCTTATTTTCTGAACATCAGCATTCACGAAACACCATGTATAATCAATACATATAATGAATCCATTTCATGTAAGAAGAACATATCGAATGAAGATTTTGATTTTTTAATGTTTATCAAATTGTAGTATCGATATTGAGAAATGAAAAATGACACAATAATTTATATGTGAATCACCCTGTGATAAAGATCAGCTTTGGTTAATTCTGTACATGGTTGTTGTACCTAAAGGTTAATCTGGAAAACTGCATGCAAAAAATTCTGATTCATTTGTCTTTTCTTGGAGATATGAATAGATGAAAAGGGGGCATTTCTCAACTTCAACACCCTGTATCTCAAGAACTGGTTATAGGATCGGATTAGGACTCGGCATATTTGATGATCAGTTCGAGTTCTATGATATACCAGAAATTCAGGAAATTCGACAGAACGCCATTTTATCATCATGGGGGAAACAGTTTCCTACAGCACTCTATTTCAGATCTTTATATACCTATATATACCTATATATACCTACTGCAACAATTATTGAGTGAATTTTTCCAATGACCGATGTTGACGTATTTCATATGATTCATTTTGTCCATAAAATAACTATTTAAGATGGTAAAAAGTCATTCATTCATATCGCAGAGCTCAGCCTACAATGAAATACCTTAGTGTGATTCGTTTATTTGCTCGGTTCCTCTTTTTCGATTCACGTAATGTTTGATCGAACTCAGAATATACAGGCTGTTTCATTACTAATTGGTAATATTTCAGCAATAAAATCCTGAGTTTGAAATAAGAAGATCTAGGCCAAATCACCCATATGTATAATATGTGTCGCCTGACTGTTCCATTCATTATTATATTGGAACAAAATTTAATCAGGTGAAATGTGGAAAGGAACTGGATTGGACGTCCTGTTTCCGAATCCGAAGTGATTTTCAACATATCTTGTCTCTTGATATAATTTTCCAGACACGTGTGTAGTTCCACGGCTGTTGGCGAGCAGTGTTTATCACTGTAGACAACCCCACTGGTTCAGAGAGTGCATTATTGGTATATCTCTTGCCGAAGCATATTTCAGGATTCCAACCCAACAATTAGATACGTATGATACGAGGGTGGAAAGTGAGACAAAATTGAATTTTTCACAACTGAAAATCGTTCAGAAAAAATGAATGATCAGTGAATTGGGCGTCCTGATTCCGTATCCAAAAAGATTCTCATCGTATTTAGACTCCAGATATCATTTTCCGGAAATTGAAATGGTTCCATGGCTGTTAGAGAGCAGTGTATATCTTCGAAGATGACTCCACTTGGTAATTAAATGCATTTTCGGTGAATCTCTCGCTTCAGTGAATTTCAGGATTGTAACCCAACGATTACGTCAGAAACGAGGATGTTTCCATGAAAAGTGAGACAAAAGTGAATTTTTCAGATCTGAATATTCTTCAGAAAATATATGGACAGTTTGGGAATTGGGTGTCCTTATTATTTCGGAGCCGACGTGATTTCCAACCCACTTTGCGTTCTAATATCATTTTCCGGAAATTAGGGTGGTTCCATGGTTGTTGGCGAGCAGTGTATATTACTGAAGATGACACCACTTGGTTTAAGAGTGCATTTTCAGTAAATCCCCCACTCCAGCAGCTTTCAGGATCCTGACTCAACGATAACGTGAGATACAGGGGTGTTTCCATTAGAAGTGAGACACACTGTAGTTTTCCTCATGTTATCAAAGTAGGGTCCTATTCCCCATATTCTTTTCAAAACTGTTAGATTCACTTATTATTTCGATCGTAATGCATTAGTGAAGTATGAACTCAAATGAAAGGGCAATTGCTCGTGAAAATAAATATAATATAAGGTATTCCATCTGGCCAAATGAAAATTCACAATATACACATCTATTTTCTTATGTTCATTCATTTGTTTCCATAAACGACCAGAAACGACCAGGAACATCATAGTAACTTTCACAACAATATTGATTTCACATCCATCTTCTGATAAACCAACTAGATTGCATGTGATTCAAATCAAACGACAATGTCTTTTCGAGTTTATAACATATTCAATGAGAATCTGAAGGTTCGGCCTCTTACCTTATATTGAAGATCCTCATATTCGATGAAAACCTCTTTGACAAACTTCCTTCACTAGCTAGGGAACCAACTATAATAACATTTTCAATCCCAATGAATTCTACGTTTGAATCAAAAAATCCTCTGTATACGATCAGCTGCAAAAGAGACAAATGTCAATTAATGTCATTTGTGTCAAAATTATCCCTTCTGTATGAGTGGTTTCTTATCTAATATAATGGATATATTAAAGGCAAGTATTATCGCGCCATATCATGAAAGCCCACCAATATTTATAAATTTTCTGCTAGATTTTTAGGATGCAGGAACCGGTTTCCAAACAACTTCTGACTAAGAGTAGCGAACTCGGGCAGTACAAAGAAGTGGTCCAAGAAAAGGACGTTTTGATTAGGAACAATACGGCTAAGCTCAAAGAGCTAGAAAACGAACTGAGCGAACTCAAAACAAAAAATGAAGCTCTCGAAGCGAGGTTGAAAGCCTCTAGCCTGGATGAGAACGGTTTCCAAGAAGTGATGATGGGCTATGACGAACTATTCAAGAAGGTGTGGGTGGAGAGACAAGGCTTTCTGGATAAGAACGCGGTTCTGCTTAGCCATATTGAAAACCTTGAAACTTCACACGCTGATTTGGTGGATAAACTAGGCAAAGCCAAGGAAGTCATCGATGGTTACAAAGAGAATCAGGAGATATTGAAAACAGAATTAAAGGAATATAGGCAGATAGTCGATATCATGGAAAAGAGATACGAAACTTTAAAACAGCACTCTGAATCGAGGATATCGGAAGCCAATATTCAGATCGACAACAAGGAGAAAGATAACATACAGGAAGTTGCTAAACTGAAGGCGAAGATATTACAAAGCCAGGCTAAGATAATACAGTTAGGAAAGCACGTGAAATTAGATACCGTTCCATCGAAAAAATCAATGTTTGCTCCGCTAAGAAATAATATATCAAAAACATAGTTTGTCTGAGATGAAGGAGCTATAATTTGGCCTAATGAAAAAAAGATAAGTATTCAGAGTCGAACTGGTTGAAATAATCGAATAAACATTATCTGGAATGAAATTGTTTCATTATGTCCAATGTTGTCAGTATGTATGCCCGTTTGAATGATATACAGGCGACCTTTCACTTTTCTATCGATACTTCCACGGGAAATGTGCTTCGGAAATCTCTGCTATTATCCCTTCACTAGCAATACCAGTCAGACGAACTAGACAAGCCCAGTCAGCACATCCTTTCGTTGTCAACCTCGAAAGATGTCGAACAGCACTTTATCAAAACTCATTCATCCATAGAACAGCTAGGCTCTGGAATTCATTGCCTGAGGAAGTATTCCCAACAACATATAATCTTCAGAAGTTCAAAAAAATTCCAATACCCACCTCCTATCTCTATCCTCCCTAGGAACGCACGATGTTCTTTGAACATTATAGGGATTCCCTTTCGTGCGCTCCAAGCGATAAAAAAAATATGAACAACACCGAAAAAATTTAGGAGTGATTGTGTGATGAACATTCGTTGATGAAACCTCACCTTTTGGATTTGTTTCATCCCTGACTAAAGCTCAGAAGTGCGAAAACATTCATGAGAAAATAAAGAAGATCTTCGGAGGGATGTAACTTTTCCAGGAAAAGGTTTTTCAAATAAAAATGAACCTCAAACACCCTGCTCAATTTGTATCACGAAATCACCCTTCAATTTTCTCGAAGTTATCCAGGAACACCTTCGCTATACAGGGTGTCCCTGGACTTCCACTTCTCCTCTCGGAAGTGTATGGATGGAGTCAAAAAATAACAAGTACTTACTTCATTTAACTTTTTTACTGTGACGGCAAAGAAGTTTGAAATTTCATTGCTGTTGACAGCTTATGAAATGTCGCTGTTCATGAATCACTTTTCTCTACAAACGTCAAAGAATCACAAGGTTTGCGCATTGATAACAAATTGCGAAGTACCTACTTCGCGCATGTAAAATATATGAGACATTCATAAAAATTTTGGGTATAAAGAAGGGTCTAACCTCAAATTTTATTTTGATCCCTAAATTTTTTTTCATTAGTGCCATTCGATAGTACACGTCGATCTTTCTCAGTGTTTAGAATATTTGCACTTATTTCAGTGCCACCCTGTATATATATATATATACACAGTGTTGATGGCTTTTGTTGCGCCAATAACACCGTGTCCAAGAAAGAACTGCAAGGCCTTTAAATTTCTATTCGACTTCGCGGTTACGTGAACAAAATCAAATTCGCAATTTTTTAGAATCTCATCATAGAATTAGATTGACAGATATTTGAGTACTTCAGATGAATGATAAAGATGCCTGCAAAGAGATGACATTCCCACTAACAACTCCAAATTCAACGTCGATAATTTTATGATTTCAATTCTATGTGATATCTTCTCAATATTGATTCGTCCTTCTTTCTGTCACAGAAGAAATATTGTATCATGAACTGGAAAAATATTAGATTTTTGTTCACGGTTTCTTGTCTTCTTTCGCTACGTGGCGGGAGACAACACAACCTGAAGCTAAAATGAATAACTATACTCTCCCTGGTATCCTTCATTTCCAAGTGTCGGGCTCTCAAAGTTGCAAAATGAAAAATGTTTGCCTCTGATAACTTTCAAAGTTTATATTCAAAATCATAAAAATTTTTGTGATTGACTGAAGAAATGAATTCCTCCGATGAGCTTTCATGCAAGAGTCTCTTGTTCTGCTTCAAAGTCAGGATCGAAATAACCCTGATGGTCCACACCCCAAAACTTTGAACTGACAGATATTCTTCAATATTTCTCAACAAAACAAGGTTACTTGGACAATTTCCTGAGTATGCTTGTTTGGAAAACTGAACAACAATATTTATATCATGGACGATATAAGATATGCTGATATATAGTCGTGAAAAAAAAACAGAACTTAGGTCTGTACTGACTAAGACTGCACCAATTCCGAAAGGATATTTATCAGCCAGAAACGAATTCTAAGGCTCATGTTTGATATGAAATTTGGAGATAGTTGTAAATCCACCTTCATCCAGAAAGAGATATTGACATTTCCTTGCGTGTATATCTATAAAGTACTCATATACGTGAAAGAAAACTTCTATAAATTTAAACAGAACTCCTATTATCATAATTACCCTACAAGAAATGCTAGCTCATTAAGTGTATCAAAACACAGGCTGACAAAATTTGAGAAAAGTCCAGAATATGTTGGTGCAAAGTTATTTAACAAACTCCCCATCAACATACAAAACATGAACCGTAATTCATTCAAGAAAGAAATTAAAAAAATATTCTTACGAAAGGCATATTATGCCGTGAGTAAGTTCCTTGACGACTCAATAGAGTAAATTTAAATATGTTTGTGTAGGTATCATTTTCACAATTCTTTTTGTATTTATGTATTATTACTATTTATTGTGTATCTACATGTATTTTTTATCAAACTGTTCGCAAAAAAAAATTACGTGTACATCCATCTGTTGTATGGCCGCTGTTGCGAGTACTAATAAATATATTTGTATTTGTATTTGTATTTGTATTTGTAACTTGGTGTTGAAGGATTAAAAGAAAGAAAGTTATATGAAGTACTGGTGATATTTTAAGCCCATCTATAGAATTCCTAGAGAAGAAGAAGAAGTCCAGGGTTACCTTGTATGATTTTTGTGAACATTTATGCAGTCAGTTAGTGATTCGAAGAACCTCTACTCGATTGTTCCATCCCACATTTTTATATGGAGAAGTTTGTTCGAAAATTCTGGTTTTGTAAGCCGGGTGTTTCTCAGAAGTGGTTCAACCCTTCAACTTTCTCGTTTCTACAGATGGACTGCTGGAATTTTGTGTGCGAGTATTGTACATGAATATGCATTGTATGACGTATTGAATCGATTTATGTGACTCCCAGTCTTATTTTGTATAGAATACCTGGTATATCATCACTTATTCCGATAGGGGATCACATCGTGAGTACAATGACACCCCATTTGCCACTTCTTGACATTTATCCAGAAATTTTAATCTTCTGATTCCCAACATCGAATAATGCTTATCCATGTATTATGCTCACACACCGAATTCCATTTGTTTATCTGTAGAAACAAAAAAGTTTTAGGGTTGAGTCACTCCTGAAAAACACCTGGTATAGAAGTGAAAGGCTTTTCGAATGAGGTATGACTCGACCCTTCATCCAAAAAGGAGGGTTTTCTTATGGAAAGTGGACACGGTGTGAAAACGAAAACATCTTATCAGGCACAAATTTTGAGCTCATTATTATCAAACATTCCGAATTTTTGATAATCATAGGGGAATGTTGAATTAGGTGGCTCATATTTCGATTATTCCACATCTCGATTGGCCCACATTCCGTTTTGCCCAAATTTCGATTTACCCAAGATTTAGTCCAACCAAATGGTATTTTCACTTGAGAACAATTCTAGTAGTATGTTTCCCTATGGTTTCATATGTTTTTGGAGGTGCTGTATTCGAATCTGAATTTCGCAAACGAAATTTTCTGGAGCGTTCCGAGATATTCGCAAAAAACTGCAAAAATATTTTTTTTTTCGTCTTCTTGACCGTTACTCGGAAATTATACGTTATATTGAAAAGACCCCGTTTTGGAAAGTTGAATATAATTGTTATCGCTCATGAATGTAGGACTAACGAGTGCGGAGATAGAGCCAGTTGAAAGTTGACCAAATTTGCGTACTTTTCAAAAAATAGTGTTTTTCGTCGATTCTCGCAGATAATTCCAAATCTACGCATTTCTCGAAGAACAGAACTAAACTGCCTGATGTGGAAAAATCCTAGCCATGTGAATTCTCACATCCGTCAGCATGTAACACATGACTCTCGACTTGTCACTGTACTCAAGTATATTCACATCAACTAGGAAGAATATTGTTTTTCTTACCTGCCTCTTGTTATCCGTTAACGAAGTGGAAAAATCAAGTTTCCTAGCAACGAATGTCAGCAATGTCAGACAATTGAAAAAAAATATAGTTGGGAGAGTTTCCTTCACAGTCGGCTATCTTAGAATTTACGGCGAATGTTTGTTATAAACCTGCCTCACTGCGATTTCAAAATACGAAAGTTCCAGTTCAGTTCGTTCCATTTCATTTTTTTTGTCGGTTGAATTTCATATTCAAGCTATTTTCCTGTGGTCGAATATACCAGATCGCCAGACCACCGTATAGACGATGGGGGTACCCTAGGAAAAACACGATTTGCTCCACCTGCACCATCTTTCCCAGAACTGGACCCTTCAGGGTACCAGCCCCCTGCCAAACGACGATGTAGTGACGATTAGATTTCAGATTATAGGATCGCCTTCATCTGATCAATTGCTAACCCTAGACTTCTAATGAAGCCTAATATTTTTCTGACGGTTGAATTCTCTGCCTCAACAGGCGTTATCTAGACCTGTTCTAGAGTAGTCAGCCTTTGGCGGACTGGTACATTACAAGAACAAAGGTACTCCGCGGTTTAGAGTCATTCTCCTCTAGACCCTTTTTATTTTTTCAATCGCTCAGAGGATAGTGAAATCCTCAGGCTACAGAAACGTGCGATTAGATTATTAGCTAGGGTGGGTCATAAAGAACATTGTCATCCACTTTTCAAGCGACTAGGTATTTTACCACTTCCGTGTATTTACATATTCCAGAATTTGACTGAAATTCATTTTAGAAGGCAGAACACTCTCAAAATTTCCAGCATTCATGATCACAATACACGCTCTGCTAGTTCAGATGATTTAATTGTGCCTCGATACAGATTGGTCAAATCAGAAAAGAATTCATTGAATTCCAAATTGTATAATAAACTACCTCATTTTGTTAGATCTATGGATGAGGAATGTTTCAAAAATAATGTTAAGAAAATCCTTCTTGGACATTGCTTTTACTCTGTTGATGAATTTTATCGAACATCAATTTTATAATCGTGTTCTTGTTTCATTCGTTTTTTTTATTAAATGTTTGTTTTCTTTCTATGACTACTATCATTTGTGTATGATCGTACTTTATTTAGTTGTATAACATTTTCTGTGATTTAT